CACAATCATTGTGCATCTTTGGTCAACATTGGCCTTTCTGTTCATGCCCTGCATGCAAGAAGACCCTGGAGGAAAATCTGGGTTAATGAATCAGAAGAGAGGCATTTCTCCTCTTTAGAGTGAGCAGGTAGTATTTCCAGTCCCACCCACACATACTCCAGGGGAATGAATAGCTTACATTTAGGTAAAACTGATAGTAGATGCTGGGCTTGTGCAACAGGGCCCTCCTGCTCTGATCAAGCTCTTTTCTTTTTCAAGGGGGTGCCTCAGGGTATCCCGAGCTTTCCCAGGATGCAGAAGCCTGATACCAGAAGGCAGTACACCTCCCAGCAGAATAGAAGCTGCTCCTCTTGGAGGTCACCTCCTCACGGAAATAGGAATCTGTTCACAAGCAGGATGCTCTCAAAAACACTGCACTTCTGGGCTTACGAAAGACAGGTTCGGGAGAACAGCATGCTGGCAAATTAATAGTATTTGCTAAGTTATTTATGCTGACCCTAATTCTACTCAAGAGCTAGGGTAGAAAACCCTGCGAAGATCATTGTGTCCACCTTTTGTTTCTAGACGTGAGTTTGAAGATGTTTTCTTTCCTTACTAGAGTTCATCCACTCAAACCACTCATTCATCATCTTAGGTTGTTATCCTCTCCTCTCTGCTTTCATAGTGGGGAGGCTCTGGAAGTGATTAAGCTATTGTAAATCAGCTTTTGTGATTTGTATGTCAGAGATAAGCAGCAGAGTAAGCAAGCGATTGGAGGGCCCAACTGCTATTGCCCTGACAGTTATCCCAGGAATAAAATTGAAACAGAAAATTACTGGAGTTTATGATATTTGGCAGATTAATTTCTTTATAGGAATATCCAATGTTAAAATTTGACCCTTTAACAAACATTGCTTTATTTTTATTCATTTATTTACTTGTTTATTTTTTTGGAGACAGGGGCTCGCTCTGTTGCCCAGGCTGTAGTACAGTTGCACGATCTCGGCTCACTGCAGCCTCGACCTCCTGGGCTCAGGTGATACTCCCACCTCAGTCTTCTGAGTAGCTGGGACTGCAGGCATGCACCACCACGCCCAGCTAATTTTTGTATTTCTAGTGGAGATAGGGTTTCACCATGTTGCCCAGGATTTTCTCCAACTCCTGAGCTCAAAACAAACCGTCCTCCTTGGCCTCCCAAAGTGCTGGGATTACAGGCATGAGCCACCACACCTGGCCAGACATTGCTTTACTTTTACTCCATTTTATTGAGATATAACTTACACAAAATAAAGCAAACAAATATTAAAACTACACCTCAGTGAATTTTTACACATGTGTATTGTTTTACAATCACCATCGAGATTTAGCTATAGTACAATTGCAGTGCCCTAGCAGCCTTCTTCATACCCCCTCCCACTGCCCTGACCTGTATCACTATAGATAGCCTCAGCCTGTTCTTGAACTTCATATAACGGAATCATACAGCACATATTCTTTTTGCATGTCCAAGCATTTTCTACGAGATACATCCATGTTCTTGGGTGTAGTTATTCGTTCTCATTATTGTGTAATATTCCATCATATCAGGGTTTCTCAATTGTGAGACTGTTGACTGTTTGGTTTGGAAAATTCTGTATGGGGGCAGGGAAGCCATCCTGCACATCGTAGGATGTTTAGCAACATCTCCAGCCTCTACCTACTAGATGCCAGTAGAATCCCATCCTAATAGTGATAACCAAAAATGTGTCCAGATGTTTCCAAATTTCCTTCAGAATTAAAAACCATCATATCACATGAATATATTCCAATGTTAAAGAAACTTTTTGTTTGGAAATAATTTCAGACTTATAAAAAAGTTACAAAAATAGAACAAACAACACCTATAATGTACTCTGTACGTAGATTGATCCATTATTAACCTTTTGCCACATTTGTTCTTTCATGTTCACATGCATGCACACACGCACACATACATGCACACATTTTATTTATAAACCATTTGAGAGCAAATTGCATCCATCTGGGCCGTTTACCGCCATATCCTTCCATACATATTTCCCAAGAATAAAGATCTTCTCCCACATTATCACCATTATTCATTGACCACAGTAAACTTAGCATAATACTTCTATCTATTGCCCATGTTCCTTTTTTTTTTTCAGCTGACCAAAAATTATCCTTTATAGCAGCAGTCCCCAACCTTTTTGGCACCAGGGACCAGTTTTGTGGAAGACAATTTTTCTACAGACTGGGGTCAGGGGGTGGGGATGGCTTTGGGATGGTTCAAGTGTATTATATTTATTGTGTACTTTATTTCTATTATTATTACATTGTAATATATAATGAAATAATTACACAACTCACTATAATGTAGAATCAGTGGGAAACCTGGGCTTGTTTTCCTGCAACTGGACGTTCCCGTCTAGGAGTGATGGGAGACAGTTATGGATCATCAGGCATGAGATTCTCATAAGGAGCACACAACCTAGATCCTGCATGAGCAGTTCACAATAGGGTTTACGCTCCTATGAGAATCTAATGCTGCTGCTGATCTGTCAGGAGGCAGAGGTCAGGCAGTAATTGGAGCAATGGGGAGTGGCTCTACATACAGATGAAGCTTCCCTTACCGACCACTCACCTCCTGCTGTGTGGCCTGGTTCATAACCGGTCTATAGCCTGGGGTCTGGGAACCCCTGCTTTATAGCATTTATTTTCCCTGCTGAGCAGGTTCCAATCCAGGATCAGGTATTATATGTAGTTGCCATGTTTTCTTTGTACCCTTTAATCTAGAACATTCTCTCAGCCTTGTTTGGTCTTAAGACTACAGTCCCTTTTTTCATAACAAACGTCCCTCCTTTTTGGGATCTGTCTAATGTTTCCTCCTGAATACATTCAGGAAATACATTCTTGACTGGAATACTACATAAACGATAGTGTGCCCTTCTCAGTACATCTCAACTGGAGGCATACAGGGTGCAGTTGCATCTCACCAGGGATGTTAAGTTTGAACTTCAGGTCAAGGTGTTGTCTGATTTTACCGTTGTTTAGTTACTAATTCTTCCCTTGCAACTAATAAGCAATGTGTAGGGAAACACTTTAAAACAATGCTCTCTCCCATCAAATTTGACCCCCTAAATGTAGCACACTTTTTGATTCTTGTGTGGAGCACTCTACCTCCAATGGTTATAAAATGATTTTCCAAATCTAGCACCCCCTTCCTCCTTATGAACTTACTCTGTTGACAGCGGTTGGGATTCCACTATACATAGAGCCTTCTCTTTTCCCCCATTTATGTATTTATTTATTTATTTATTTATGTTTTTACTTATCTGTTATCAGTATGGACTTGTGAATTCCTATTTGTTTCAGTGGTTTATAAATCATTACTTCCCTTAAATATTTTAATGCTCAAATTGTTCAGATTTGGCCAGTGGGGGCCCCTTCAAGATAGGCCCTGTGTTCTTCTGACAAACCCCCACCATATCTTATTTTTAATACTTTCCTACTTTATGGCATAACATGATCCTGGTTCTTTTAATTTCCTTGCCTTTATCCTGGTATTGGCCATTTTTCTGAAGAGACTGGATTCCTTTTAGTGGGGAATGGTAGAAAAGACCACAATATATTTATCCATTTTCCTGATAATTGACATTTGAGTTGTTTCCATTTCTGGGCTATTACAAGAAAGCTTCTCTGAATACCCTTGTCCATTTCTTGGACCTTCTTACTAACTTCTGTTTACTCTATAACCAAGAGTGAAGACGGAGAATTGGGGAGTTTCTACTCTTGGTCATACACCCAACAGAAATTCATAAGTGCACAAAAAATGGGCAAGGATATTCAGAGCAGCTTTATTCATAATTCATATATGTGTATGTGTATTTAGCTTTAGTAAATATTGCCAAGTAATTTTGCAAAGTGCTCATAACACTGTTTTAGGTTTTGTCACAGAAGAGGAAGCTGGAGGCCTCGGTAGAAGACAGGAATAATCAGTGGCAGGGGCGATAATGGGCCATTGCAATCCAAAGGCATGTTGTCTATGACCAGAAATGGCTGATCCTTGCAACATATAATGAGTGGAAAATGCTGAGACTTTGCCACCTGGCCCATTCTTAAACATCTCCTGAGAGAGCTCTGCTTGAAGATGAGCAAAATGGAAGTTACTGGAGTCAGTATCTCCCACCACCTTCAAAATGGTTTTCATCTGAGGGATGCCAGGAGCTCATTTGACAGCACTTAGGAAATGGAGGTCCATTGCTGGGGCACCTGCTGTTAGAGAGCATCAGACCCACTGCTTTACTTTTAAAAGTCCCTACCCATGCGACAGAGAGGTCCCCTGGGGTCCCACCCACATCTTCTGGCTGCTAGGGACCTATTTACAACCTTGGAGCATTCACTGAATGGTCTGAGAGAGTAAATATTTCTCTATCTATACCTAGGGAGTCACTTTGTGTCCAAGACACTTTTGATAGGGAGCCACCTGCCACTAAGGGCAGCAGGCAAAGCAGGAAACTGCTGCAGGCCAACAGAGAAGTGAACTGGCCCAGTATTGTGGAACCAGTGTTCAGTGTTGCCAGAAACAGCTTGGGCATGATCAGCTTCTATAGCTTAAAGTTTCCTCATCCAAAATATCTGTCCTACAGAGCTTATATATAGCACATCATTAGACTCAAAAATGTAATTAAAGTACTTTGCAAAGTGAACCTTCATATAGAGGAAGCATCATGCATAAGATACACAGTGGGCTCTTAGTAACTTTGATGAGCCTTTGGAATAACTAGCAACTGGTAAAATACATCTCTGGATGCATTTTAAGCAAGTGCCCCGTCTAAGTAGATAGTGACCTGCTGTGAAGTGGGGAGAACCCTCTCACGGGGCATATGTGCCCCCTGAGAGGGTCTTTGTGCAGTACACAAGTGCACAATGGTATGTAATGACCCTATATAGATGACCAGCGGTGACAGTGATCTTATCGCTGCACATCTGTATTAATCTCTGTGGTCCCCTCTTCTCTCCCCTAGGCCTCTCTGCTGATGGTGGTGCCAAGCGCCAGGAGCACCTATCCCGATTTTCCATGCCTGACCTCAGCAAAGACTCTGGAATGAATGTGTCTGAGAAGCTGAGCAACATGGGCACTCTTAACTCGTCCATGCAGTTCCGGAGCGCAGAGTCGGTTCGCAGCCTGCTCTCCGCCCAGCAGTACCAGGAGATGGAGGGAAACCTCCACCAGCTCAGCAACCCCATTGGCTACAGAGACCTGCAGTCCCACGGAAGGATGCATCAGAGCTTTGATTTTGATGGAGGGATGGCGGGCAGCAAGCTGCCAGGGCAGGAGGGCGTGAGGATCCAGCCCATGAGCGAACGCACCCGGAGAAGAGCTACTTCGCGTGACGACAACCGCCGCTTCCGACCTCACAGGTCCAGGCGTTCCCGACGCTCTCGCTCCGACAACGCCCTCCACCTGGCCAGCGAACGCGAGGCCATCTCTCGGTTAAAAGATAGGCCCCCTCTGAGAGCCAGGGAGGACTATGACCAATTCATGCGCCAGCGGAGCTTCCAGGAGAGCATGGGGCATGGGTCCCGGAGGGACCTGTACGGCCAGTGCCCTAGGACTGTGTCGGACCTGGCTTTGCAGAATGCCTTTGGGGACCGATGGGGACCCTACTTCGCGGAGTATGATTGGTGTTCCACCTGCTCCTCCTCTTCAGAGTCTGACAACGAGGGCTATTTCCTAGGAGAACCCATCCCCCAGCCAGCGCGCCTGCGATACGTCACTAGCGATGAGCTACTGCACAAATACAGCTCCTACGGCCTCCCCAAATCTTCCACCTTAGGTGGCAGAGGACAGTTGCACAGCAGGAAAAGACAGAAGAGCAAAAACTGTATCATTTCTTAATATGATTAGGATCAGGGAATGGGAGAAGATGGGAGCTAAGAATGTAAATTCAGAAACTTGCACTGTTTTAAATGTTAAAGCGCTTTTAGGGGTGGCTTATGGGGGAGAAAAGGGAAAATGCTGTCAGTAGATGGAGGCAAGGTTACAGATTGACTCAATAGGTAGTCACAGTTCTTGGCATGTTGAATATTATTTGCACATTTCACTTTGGAAACACAGTAGACTCTATTGAGGCCAGGGTTGGTCACTTCCTTCCCATCAGTTCTGTGTTGAGTTGCCATCTCGCAAGATGGCAAATTGTTTCCTGCTCGCTTTTATCCTCTCTGGTTCTCTTACTTTTAGGACCCTTTTTTCAGTAAGTAATTTGTTTATTAGCCAGGACCCAAGACTAAGTTATTTACATGTCCATTGTAAATGCAATGTAAATGAGAGTTCTGATAAAATATTTTTGTATTTTGTAATATCAAAGGAATTTCTATATCGTAGGACTCAGTGGGGACTTGCATGCACATCCACCATTGTCTTTGAGTAGTATTAAAAGGTGGCCCGGTACCACCTTTTTTTTTTTTCTTTTTTTTTTTCTATACAAATTTGTTACATGTCAGTGAGACCTTTTTCAAAGGAATATATTCAATTTGGCTTTTTGTGGCTGAAAAAAAATAACTATTAGACCCAAAGCATTTTATGCTCCATTCCATCTTAAGGAGCCATCCTTAAGTCTGCTCCCACCCTCAGTAGAATTTATTTTCTACAAAGTGGTAGTAATTTTTTTTAAATTGCAAATGTAATTTTTGCCAATTAGAGAAACCAACCAGTGTCAGTAAAATTCTGTGAGAAATGCCATCCCTGCTGGGAATGTTGAAGTTACTTAATGTTGATGTATCCCTTGGGGAAAGTGAAAGTGACTGTGAGTGGTGCTGTTGTGTGATGTCAGCATGACGTTGTTTTGAATGTGGCATTATGTTCTGGTGCTCATGTTTCCTGGATTGTATTATCTGCTTTCCTTTACCAAGGCAGACAGAGCTGCTGCCTTAGCCTGACAACCGGTTGTCCTCAAAGCAAATGAACTTAAGCATTTGGGATTGAGGGACAGAAGGATTCTGAGGGGGCTCTGGGAGGGACGGTGTGTGACATGTCATGCCTGGAGAAGGAACAAGGCTATTTGAAAACAGAAAGCAGGTCAAGGGTAGAAGTTAAAGGAGAATCTGAAGGCAGGTCAGGGAAAAGAAGAACTGGAAATGAAACAGAGGACAGGTGACAACCGCGTCTCGAAGAGCTCCCAGAGATTATAGAAAGAATCCAGTGTAACCAGCTCAGTAACCAGAGTATCTGGGTTACTCAGGAAGGTTGGGCTACTGAGATTTCAGTGGTGCAGTGACTTTGAAAAACAGGCTTTGTCGGGAGGGGATTTCCATTTTGAACTTTGAGGACCGTTGGTCAGAAATTGGGCTCAAAAGTGAGTTTGCTTAATGAAGACATTTAACGGTTGTGCTGTTTATAGTAAAATAAAACTCCCTACCTTGCTTCAGTTAAAAATGAAGCGCTTGGTTTCTTCCATCCTCCTCCTCCCCTTAATGGATTGTGGCAGTTGAAATAATCCATCGGAGGACCCACCTGTAGTGAGATGTACTGTCAGTGTAGTGCCCAGTGTATCACAGTGGCCATCTGCCATGGTGAGGTGAGCGTGATCTCTTTTCAGTATAGTAGTAAACATTTTCTAGTATTTTTTATGGAGAGAATGTCAAAAGCAGTATTTCAGACCCCGTCCCAGATGGGTCTGAGGAAAGGAAGGCTGTAAAGGACATGGTAATGGCACTCCATTCGGGATGTATTAAAATAATTTGCTTTTCAGGTATTAATATGACATTTGTCATTGTCACTGATTTTTTTAAAAAAGCAATGCACATGTTGGTTGTGGCTGTTTTCCGCATGCTATCTTCATATCTAAATGCTTCATTAATTATCCGAGCCTCCGGAGAATTAACTCTATTACGTTTGTATAGTAAGTTTGTAAACTGCTTGGCAAACTGATTAAGAAATAATTTGCAACACCGTGCTACTAAAGTGGCAGGTTTCTGGTAGAAATTGTGCGGGTCCAATTTGGAGTTTTAAGTTCCTTGATTGATGAAACTAAAAAGGCAATTTTGGAAAAAGAAAAGAGAAGGGGAAAAGTAGATCACTTATCTTAGCAAACAGTTGAAAATATGTCTGTCCTCTGTGGCCCCAAATCCAGTGGAAGAAATTCTCCCAGTAAAAGTTGCTCCCTAACTCTGTTTTTCTCAGAATACCTCTTACATTTCTCAAAGAAAGCTTCAACTACCATCAGCAGAAAGAAGGTGGCCTGAAAACTGACACATGGCCAGTGCCCAGAGGGGTCTAGAGGCATAAGTCTAGATGCCCAGAGAGCATCCAGGGACTGAACTGCTCAAAGCTTGAGATGAAATGACATACAAGCTTCAGGGTAAAACTGTCTACTAGTAAGATTACCTCCCTCTATTCTACCATTGCAGATATCTTCTTACCCCAAATGCAACCTTACAGAGAATGCTGAATGCGGAAGGCCAGTTCCTTGCGATGATGGCAGAACCTCCAAGTGAATGCCCTGTTGAGGAAAAGGACATCATTGTATTTGGAATTCCACCTGCTAGTGATAGCTCACACATCACATCCCAGAATCCCATTCCCAATGCATTCTTCCCTGAGGCAAGAACTTAAGGTCCTCACCTAATTCCTCCATCAAAACCATTAACTCTTATTGGACAAGCTCCTCCTGTGAGTGGGGCCTGTACTCATTTCCTCTTAGATCATAATTCCATCTTCAACAGACTGGTTTCCAGAAGAGTAATCTTTTTCCAGTGTTCTGTCTTCTCCAATGCCCTGGTGGTTACTTTTCCACCTCTCCTAATATTGATCTTTTTGTCTTTCGGTTAGAACTGCAGCTTCGGAGTTCAGTTCATTTCCTATTGCTGCTCAATTCAGTAGCAGCATAGCTGGCTTGTTCCCAGGCCCAGGAAATATAAGTCATTGACAGTTTCCTGAGAGGCTCTGCCCATCCATACCACCCTTGGTACTGTGAAAAGACTTCTTAGCAGCCAAGTGGCATTGAGGATGGTATTCAGGGCACTTTCCATCTGTCATATAGTTGTGGGATCTCTACCAAGTGTGAAGGTGAATGAGGTAAGGGAGATCAGAACCATGCTTGCTGGTTTTTCATACGTCCAAGGGAGAAGTCCTGGTGTGGGTTGTTTGACCCCTTCTTTCCACTTTCACCTTTTATTTTTTATTCCTTTCTTTCTACCCCCAACCAGCTGAGCAATTTTGTGTTTCTAACACAGGACCTGGGAGTAGTGCTTTCTAATCCTCATTTCCTGTAGGATGCTCCTGCACTATAACAGGATTATGTTTTCTTCCTTCTTCGGCAGCTTTCTGCTTCTTGGGTACTACTAGCTATTGTTGAGTTCAGATGGGGCCTATGATGACATATATGTGGCATGTGCTCTGCGCTCCCTGCAAGCTAAGCAGATACAACCAGTGCATCACTGTATACTCTCGCTGAGAATGTGGATGCAGCCTCACAGATCTTTGCAACACTCCAACCAGCCAGGACCAGTTGATCAGAACTGATCTTATTAGTCTGCTAACAAATCTTATTTGTGAACTGATTCGTATCTGTCTTTCCACCCTTGGTTCTCTTGCCATAGAACAAAAACAGTTTAGGAAGCATAGTTAGGAACATTTAGGAACCAATATTTATAAGTAATACGGAGACTCCAGTTCACCCTCCCCTCCCCACCCCAGGTTGTGGAGGCTCAAGGAAGCTGACTTCTTAGGCTAAAGGATAAAAAATCTCTTTCACCTCCTTTGCCATTTTCATGTTCTCTGCCAATTACTATAGGCAGTCTTCATTTTGCAGAGGTGAGGTAGGACTTCATCTTATTCTTCATCTAATCCCACCTTCTAACAAAAAAACAATAATAATAACATATTTAAATTCCAAGGAGAAGTGTTCTTTGTGTATTTCTAACAGAAAACAGACGCTTAAGCCTAAGAAGGAAGATCCATCCATGACAAAGGAAAGTGGAAAACTGAACCAGTTGTCTGAATAATTCATGCCAGGACAGTTGCTATTAGCAACTGTTTTGCACCTTCAGGGCTTTAAAATGGGCTCTGCAGACAGCATTTGCATATGCAGGACTCAGTAGCCAAGCCTCCACTGCCAGCTGTTGAAGGCAGTTTCAGATCGCCACCTTTTGAGGTACATTTCTTTAAGCACAAGAGAAGTGGAAATGGCCTTTGCCTTGTCTCCAGTGGTTTGTCCCTCTGGTGCCTCAGCAGATACCAGAGCTTATTCTTATGACCATTTAGAAATAGTCCTCAAAGTTAAGATCAAGAAAAAATTGGATTCTTTTTCCATTTTCTCATAATAGTAGCCTAGTCAACACAAGACTCCCATAAAATATGACTCACTATTGGGAGCCATACTATTTTATAAGCTTACTTCCTGCTGACAAAACTAGCTTTCCTCAAGGAAATATAAAGGAGGGGAAAGTCACGTAGTGTTAGGAAAACATTTCTGTGTTTTGAATATGATGAATCCATAGGATAGAGAAAAATCTTCTTGTTCTATTCTGAGAGTTCTCTGAGATATCCCTTCACTCTGCTCAGCATTTGGCCATTGATGTTCAACAGGTCACTGACCAAGCTTTTCTAAATTTTTCAGAGGGAGTTACTTACCAATCAGGTCTGTTCTCAAATCTACCTAGCTGATTTTCATATCTTTCCATAAAGGGTCATGATTTGATCATGGACCCTGACTTAACATTCTAAGGACTATGAGTCCTCCATTTTTTTTAATTTTTTTTTTTTTTTTTTTTTTAGCAAATTAGGACTTCGACAGGTTTTCCTCTCCTAAACTCATTCTTTCCTCCACAGGATTGCTTTGCCCATCTCCTGCTTTCGTTTCAAGTGCATAAACAAAACCTCAAAGGGCCTGGGAAGGTGAGGCAGGCCAGAGTCTGTGTTCTGTGTTGAGTGTCAAGCTATTTGTTAAGAAGGTCTGCAACAGGCCTTTGGTGTGGGCTCTGCCAGAGACTGTTCTGAACACTTTGCTTGAGATCCGTGCCCTGTAAAATGGATATGATGTTTTACTGATGTCTGTAATACATTTGTAAACTTCCAATAAAATTTGAATAAAAGAAATGGTGCCATTCTTCTCCGTCCTCCCTCACTTTCCAGATCTTAGGGGTGGTCTCTGCCTTTGAGCGTTTCAACAAAGTAAAGAAGGGACACAGGTATGGAGGGATGAGTTTTACTGTGAAAGATTAACCTGATTGTTTAAATCGGGATTTCTAAACCTCAACAGTATTGACATCTTGTGCTGGTTAATTCTCGGTTGCAGAGGGCTGTCCGGTGCATTGTAGGATGTTTAGCAACATCGCTGACCTCTACTCACTAGATGTCAGTAGCAGCCCCCAGGAACTGTGACAACTAAAAATGTCTCCCATCACAAGCATTAGGAAGGCAACTATTAACAATAATAACAATTGTGGGTGAGGATGTGGAGCAATTGGAACCCTTGTACACTGTTGGTGGGAATGTAAAATGATGCAGTGCTGTGGAAAACAGGCAGTTCTTCAAAAAATTTAAAAACAGAATTACTACCATATGCTACTTCTGGGCTATACCCAAAAGAATTGACAGCAGGGTCTCCAAAGAGGTATTTGTACACCCATATTCATAGCAGCAGCATTCACAATATCCAAAAAGTGGGAGCAACCCAAATGTCCACAAGATGAATGTGTAAACAAGGTGTGGTGTATACATAAAATGGAATATTATTCAGCCTTAAAAAGGAAGGAAATTCTGACACATGCTACAGTGTGGTTGAACCTTGAGGACATTTTGCTAAATGAGATAAGCCAGTCACAAAAAGACAAGTGTATGATTCCATTTATCTAAGGCACCTAGAGTCAAATTCATAGAGACAGAACGTAGAAGAGTGATTGGTTGTCAGGGACTGAAGGGAGAAGGAAATGGGGAGTTATTATTTAATGGGTATAGAGTTTCATTTTGGCAAGATGAAAAGAGTTCTGGAGACGGGTTGCAGAACAATGCAGATGAACTTGATACTACTGAACTGTACACTTAAAAGTGGTTAAGATGGTAAATGTTATATTATGTTTATTTAACCACAATTAAAAATGTCTCCACACATTGCCAATGTCTCCTGAGGGCAAAATTGCCCCTTGTTGAGAACCACTGGTTTCAGTGCATTGCCTTCATAGAATCTTTGTTCCTTGAGGATTCTTGAAACCGATTCCTACCCAGGCCACACACTTAATTTTCAGTTATTAGCAAGAACTGAAACCAGGAGATGACCCAAAAATATTTGTGTTTGCTTTTAAGCAAATAATAAGTGGACTGTCAGGAGAATTACATCCACGTCTGTGTTCTGGTTCGGGTGGCATTAACGTTGACTGGGAGCCAGGACCAAGGCAGCATGTAAATTCAATTTCCCGGTGTCTCATCCATAACATTAGGGAGTTGCTAGATGCTACAATATCATCTATGCATTCATTCAACAAATATTTATGAAAGACTTCCTCTATGCCAGGAACTGTTCTAGGTGTTTAGAATATAACAACGTGTAAAACAAACAAAAATCTCTACCTTAAAGGAGCTTACAAACTTTACTTTCAACAAGGCAAGACATCGGGAACAGTTGTCTTACCCACGGTAACTAATCACGAGGTCTTGGGAGTGGCAGACAATAAGAGTTGTTTCATTCTAAGACATTCTAAGAGCTTTTGAACAAAAACTTGAGCTGGAAATGGCAATTGTGCCTGTTCTGCTTACAGACCTCTGTAGAGCATGGCCTGCAGGCAACCATGGTTTTTAACATAGAGCCTCCCTCTTTCTCCTCTTCAGCCAAAATGATTGTAGTCAAGTATAGCACCTAACCAGCAATCCTATAAGCATGATAAACCAGACTAATCAGATTCCCTCTCTCAAGAATATAGGCCAGGCACAGTGGTTCATGTCTATAATCCCAGTACTTTTGGGAGGCTGAGGTGGGAGGATCACTTGAGACCAGGAGTTCAAGACCAGCCTGGGCAACACAGCAAGACCCCCTCCACCCCCATCTCTATGGGAAAAAAACGAAAACAAAAACCAGTAGCTGGGCATAGTGGTGCAAATCTTTAGTCCCAGGTGCTAAGGAGGCTGAGGCAGGAAGATCACTTGAGGCTGCAATGACTTATGACTGTGCCACTGCACTCCAGTTTGGGTGACACAGCGAGATACCTTGTCTCTGATAAGATTAAATAAGATTATAAACTAAGAAATTCTGAGAGAATGAGGCAGCTGACAGTGGCAGTGGAAGCTAAGAGAATGTATGAGGAAGAACCAGAAGGTGGAGTCAGGCCTAGGAGCAACAGGGTAAGAGGAAGGATGAGGAAGCAGAAGCAACAGGTAAGCAAAAGTCTAGGCTGAGAGCAGATCCAAGAGCAAAGACAAGAGACCAGAATGGACCCAGAGGAGCTGGTCTTCAGGACTTCCTCACCTCCAAACAGATCCTAGTTCCTGTCCTGGAGGTACCCTTCTAGGGTTACCATTTGATTTTGGTCCCTCACACACCCCTCTCCATTGTGCTTATGTATTGTGACAACACATACCTATGTAACCTCTTCTTCGGGCTCAAGTGTTCCTTGCAATCCCAATGAAAACATATGAAGGATCCCATATGCACTAAATGCCAGTTGTGCACCTTTTATTTTGGCCCCATGTTCCTTTAACATTTTAAATCTCATCTCAACCACTTGCTAGTTGTTGATCTTGGGAAATGTCCATATCCTCCTTGAGCCTCAGTTCTTAATCTATTAAATGAGATAATAACAGAAGAGTCATTATTGGGTTATTGTATGGATGTCCTAGAACAATACTTGTAAAACTCTTAGTGCTACCTGTCATTATAAGAGCTCAAAACACATTAGCTATTGTTATTACTATCATTAGTATTTCTAGTCTACCCAAAGAGAGAGGCTGGCAAGAACTAGATACCAGTGGTATCCAGTCTAATAATGCTCTTATCTTTTTTTTATTATACATATTAAATAGGATTTAGAGACATTCAAGGAAGGCCTGAATCTTCACTGTGTGTAAAAAATGCCCACTGAACTTACTGAAAACTCCTTATCCTCCTGAAAGACGTTCTGGTTTGGTGGATCTGAGGTAGAGCTCCAGAATCTGCTTTTATAACAAGGCCTTTATATCTTTATGATCTAGGTGGTTTGAGAATCATAGCTCAAGAAATTCTGTCTTGGCATTTCTTGTTTTCTTCCAAGTCTCTGAAGCAAATAAACAAATGATTGAGTGTTTTTGCTCCACAGCTTAGGCCTGGGTTCTTGTCTCCACCAGGAAGGATTAGGTACATACACACTCGAAGAGTGAGTTAGGCAAGAAGTTTGAGTGATGCAACGGCTGTTGGCAGGGAGGGAGGGGATGCAGCAGTGGTCCCCTGAAGGCAGTGGTCCCCTGAACTCACCTGAAGGCAGGAGAGTTCCCAATATGACTGAGCCATATCTAGTCTAAGAATGCTCTTATCTTTTTTTAACGTAAGCATTAAATAGGATTTAGAGACATTTGAAGAAGGCCTGAATCTTTACTACGTGTAAAAAATGCCCACAGAACTTAATGAAAACTCCTCGTCCACCTCAAAGAGGTTCTGGTTCAGTGGATCTCAGGTTTTTTATGGGCTCAGAATAAGCAGTGCATCCTGACTGGTTTGCGAGTATGCAAAAAAGGTTAAAGCAAAGACACCACTCAAAGGTGGGCATGATAGTGTAGAAAACCAATTCGGAAAGCATAGATATATGTAAATAAGTGAAGGGTGGGGATCAATCAGAGGAAAGTGGCCAGGCACAGTGACTCAAGCCTATAATCCCAGCACTTTGGGAGGCGGAGGCAGGCAGATCACCTGAGGTCAGGAGTTTGAGAACAGCCTGGCCAATATGGCAAAACCTCATCTCTACTAAAAATACAAAAATTAGCCAGGTGTGGTGGCACATGCCTGTAATCCCAGCTACTCGGGAGGCTGAGACAAGAGCCTGAGACAACCCGGGAGGCAGAGATTGGAGTGAACCAAGATTGCACCAGTGCACTCCAACCTGGGTGACAGAGCGAGATTCCATCTCAAGAAAAAGAAAAAAAAATCAGAGGAAAATGCGCCAAGTGCAAAGGCACGTTCTCAATCCAGTTCGAGGATTTACCCGGGACTATTTCCGGTCAGGAAGGTGGGGTTTTGCTGGAGACTCACCCCTGTCGGCCTAGACATTTGTCTGCCTCCTGCCCCTACCACAAACAAGCAAACAAAAACACATCCGCTAGTCCCTGATGCTTCAAGAGAACCTAACAATCTTATTGGTCTGAATATAGAGACTTGAGCCAGTAGCTTCTAGTCCAATTTTAGAGGAGCTGGAGTGGGTTCACTTTTTTTCAGGAATGGCAGTCATCAAAAAAGGAATGTACTTCAACTGGCTTTAATTTTTATGATAGATGTATACCACTGCTGCACTGAAGAAGAGAGTGAGCTTATTGTAAAACACAATCTAACAATTATGTTTGGATTTGAGAATTGCTACTTGGGCTCAGAGCCAATGGTTTTCACACATCAAAATTAACTGGGTAGATTACGGAAAATTCAGGATCCCTAGCCCCATCCCTAGAGAGTCTGATTCATCAGGGCCCCGGGTCATCACATTTTTCATAAACATTTGGCGATCTAGGGCCACCCCTTTCATCACGGGAAAGCCTTTATTTTCTGTGAGCCCTTGTGTGCTAAGGGCTCAGTCCAGTTTGTGTTACAGAGCTTTGGGGTTGAAGGGTCTGCTTCTCAAATACTCATCTGCCCTATGTGTAAAGTAGATACTGGTTTTACTTTTAGATTAGAACGAGAAACATCAGCCCCTTTGGAAAACCCATCCCAGCCTAAATTCTAAATATAGCTAATTTTGACTGAGACAGACATCCAGTCATGAACCTAAGAAGGAAAGCTCGTTAGAAGATGCAATAGATTAATAAAAGCAAACACAGGCTGAAGTTTAGGGGGAAATGGTTAAGCTATTAAATGACACAATTATACTCAGCAGGAGATGAGATGATTTAAGAACTTTCTCAGCAAAATACTAGCACATACTTGTTTC